CTTCTGAGGAGTGGCTGGTGGGTTTGAACCGCCAGCCTTCTGGTTAGCAGTCAAGTGCCTTAGCCACTATGCTACCAGAGCTCCCAATAAGCAATACACTACTGAAAAAGAACAAAGTAGGAGGTTTCACACTCCCAGATCTCAAAACCTACTATACGGCCATAGTTGTCAAAACAGCCTGGTATTGGTACAGCAACAGACACATAGAACAGTGGAATAGAATTGAGAACCCAGAAATAGATCCATCTAGGGTCAAGGAGCTCTGGTAGCATAGTGCCTAAGGCACTTCACTGCAAACTAAAAGGCTGGCAGTTCAAACCCACCAGCCACTCCTGGGAAGGAAGGTTGGGGAATCTACTTCTGTCATGATACTGCCTTGGAAACCCAAGGAGGGGTCGCTAGAGTTGGGTCTGACTCAATGGCACATAATAACAACAACCATCTATGGTCAGTTGATCTTTGACAAAGAGGTGAAATCCGTTCAATGGGGAAGAGATAGCCTCTTTCACAAATGGTGTTGGCAAAACTGGATATCCATTTCCAGAAAACTGAAACAGGATCCGTACCTCATTCCATACACAGAAACTAACTCCAGATAGATCAAAGACTTAAATGTGAAACTGTAACATTCCTCAAGGGAAAAACAGGGGAAAATTTAGGGGCCCTAATATATGGTATAAATAGACTATCAAGCATAACCCAAGATGCACAAATAGCAGAAGATAAACTAGATTATTGGGACTTTCTGAAAATTAAATTGTTACGTGCATCAAAAAGACTTCTCCAAAAGTGTAAAAGAGAACCTCCAGAATGGGAAAAAAATATTCGGCAGTGACATACTGGACAAAGGAGTTACCTCTACAATTTATAGAAAACTCCCAACATCTCAACATCAAAAAGACAATCCAGTTACAAAATGGGCAGAAGTGTGAATAGACACTTCACCAAAGAAGATATTCAGGCGGCCAACAAATACATGAAGAAATGTACACAATTGTTAGCCATTAGAGAGATGCAAATCAAAACAACCATGAGATACCATCTCATCCCAGCATTAATAGGAAAGTTCAACAAGACAGAAAATAACAAATGCTGACAAGGATGTGGAGAGATTGGTACTCTCATACACTGCTGGTGGGTCTGTAAAATGACACAACCACTGTGGAAATCAGTATGGCAATTCTTTAAAAAGTTGGAAATAGAAATACCATTTGACCCAGCAATGCCGTAGTGCCTAAGGCACTTGACTGCTAACCAGAAGGCTGGCAGTTCAAACCCACCAGCCACTCCTCGGAAGGAAGATTAGCAATCTACTTCCGTAGTGATACTGCTTTGGAAACCCAAGGAGGGGTTGCTATGAGTCAGGTCCGACTCGACGGCACATAACAACACAACATCCTAAAGAAGTGAGAGGGGAGACACAATAGATATATGCACACCCATGTTCATAGCAACACTTTCATAATGGCAAAGAGATGGAAACAACAAGTGTCCATCAACTGAGGAATGGATAAACAAACTGTGGTACATACTCAAACTCACTGCTGTTGAGTTGGTTCTGACTCAAAGTGACACCTCTTTTGGTTTCCAAGGTAGTATCTCTATGGAAGTAGATTGCCCAGTCTTCCTTCCGAGGAGTGCCTGGTGGGTTTGAACTGCCAGGCTTCTGGTTGCAATCAAATGTCTTAGGCACTACACTACCAGAGCTCCCCTGTGGTATGTATACACAATGGAATAGTATGCAACCCTAAAGAATAATGTAGAATCTGCAAAACACTGCATAATGTGGATGAACTTGGGGGACATTATGCTGAGTGAAAGAAGTTAATCACGGAAGGACAAATATTGTTTTGGTCCATTATTTTAAAAAGTCAAGGAACATTTTATACATAGGAAACTTTCATTGCTGGTTACCAGGGAGGAGCGGGGAAGGGAGGGAAAATTTCTAGATAAGTTGAAAAAAAAAAAAGATCATTAGTGGTTACTAGGGTAGGAGAGAGAAGGAAAGAGGAAGCTTTTGTTTGGGGTCATTGAGTTTATGCTAATAGGTGGTAGAATATTTTGGAAAAGGATAGAAATAATGGTGGCACAACATGAAAAATGTCATCAACGTCCCTGAGCTATAAATGTAGAAGTTGTTATGTTATGTTGGTGAATGTCTTGTTGTGTATGTTTTCACCACAATAAAAGAAAAAAAAAAGATCTTAGGCTGACCTGACTATACATAACACAGATTGTTGAGTAGAGAATAATATGTGGGGGACAAGAGTAGAAACAAGAGACTTGAAGGCTGTATTATAACCCAGGAAAGACAGTGGGGTTTGGACCAGAGGCAGCAGTAGAAGTGATGAGAATTGGTTATATCCTGGAGATATTTTGGAGGCAAAATTGACAAGATATGTGGAAGGCCAGGGTGTGAGAGAATCAAATCAAGGATTACATTAGTGCTTTGGACTAAGCAACTAAAAGGATGGAGTCACCTTTTACTGAGAGGGAGAAGATGTGGGTAGGGCAGGTTTGAGAGGGTGGGTTTGGGAGTATGTTTTGGGCATATTAAGTTTGAGGTGCTCATCAGACATTCACGTGGCGACTTGAAGTGTGGGGTGGTAAGTTGAGATAGTTCTAGGCCAGAGATCCAACAGATAGTTACTTCACAAAACTGTTCACTGATACAATAGCTGTAGTTTTTTTTTTTTTTTTTTTTTTTTTGAGGGAGGTGGTAGTGGAGGGGGGGACCCAAACTAGTTGCGGTCAAATTGATTCCACCTCGTGGTGACTGTGTGTGTCAGTGCTCCCTAGGGTTTTCAGTGGCTGATTTTTCAGAAGTAGATCACCAAGCCTTTCTCCTTTGGTGCCTTCCAGTGGGCTCAAGCCATCCACCTTCCAGTTAATAGCTGAGCACTTAACCATTAACATCACCTATGCAGTTTGTGAGGAGGGAGAAAAAAGGAAAACTCAGTAATTGCCTATACCTTGTTGGTGAATCTGGACACCCCCACCCCAAGGGCCTCCTACCAAATACCATGTGGACTAAGGGTCTTGAGCTGGCTATGTGGGGGTAACCCCAGTTAGCACTTCTTCTTCCCACAGCTGCCATGGTGTGGACGGTGGGCATGGCCAAGCCAGACCCCTCCTCACAGGGAGCCCTCCAGCTCCCCTATGATCCAGAGATGGGTGAGTACCAAAGAACTGGGATGAAGCTCTTTACTTGCACCCCACTTGTGTGGGGGCCAGGCCTGGCCTGGCCTCTCTCGAGGTTGTGAAGGGCAGAAGGGGATGTGTCTTCCTAAGCCAGCCCTCCTGAGCGTGTGTCTTAGAGACTGGGTGGGGTTGGACTGTCAGCCCTTGGCCCCAACCTCACTCAATTTCATTCCCTTCCTGGTTCTGAGGGCTGCTGTGGGCTGGTGTGGGTGTGGGCGACAGCACTGGTGTCACCAGTTGATGCTGGGTGGATACCCCCCACCCCCAAAGCTGAGGGACACCCTTTGACTATGCTTGTTTCTCTTCTTGCCCCCTCCTCACCACCATGATGGACACCCAGAGGAAGACTCCTATGACAGTTTTGGGGAGCCTTCGTACCCAGAAGTCTTTGAACCCCCCCTGCCTGGCTACCCAGGGGAGGAGCTGGAGGAAGAGGAGGAAAGTAAGGTGCCCATATTCAGATGGTCGGCTTCAATCTAGGGGTGGGGCAGAAGTGAGGGTGGGAAGGGGTCCCTGAAGTCTGGGTCCTTGTGCAGCTGTGGGGGAGATGAGTGGACTCCGAGGAGGGGTGAGATGGCAGGTTGCCCTCTGTATTGGGGCTGACATGGGGTTGTGGAGTGCAGGGCAGAGGGGTAGGTGTTGGAGAGTTGGCCCCTAAGGCAGGGGAGACATGAGGAGGTGATGTGGAGACAGTCTTGAAGACAAGGCCAGAGGTAGTCAGAGACATGGTTCTTTTTCCAAGGGGCTTAGCACAGTCATTCAGTCAGGGCACATTCACCGTGGGCCCAACAGCAGCACCAAGAGCCTATGACGCAGTTTCCACCCTCCCAGAGTTCCCAGGGAAGAAGGCTAAGCCTGAGGTCATCCTGAAGGAGGGGGTAGGGTATTTGTAAAGGCTGAGAGACAGAAGGTGAATGTGAGCCTTTAGGGAGTTCTCTGTTTGCCTTGGACAGGAAGAGGGAGTGGACGAGCAGGGAACTGCTATGGGGGCTGGGAAAGACCTTGTAGGGCGTGGAACAGGCTGGGAGACCCCAGTTTTATCTTGGAGGTGACAGGGACCACTGATGGTTACTCAGATAAAGAAAATGATCAACTCTACATTCCAGACTGAGGGGATCAAGAATGTAGACAGATGAGCCAGACTGTTGGGAGACCAGGAGGGAGCTCTGTCCTCACCCAGATGACAGAAAAGAGTGAAGGGCCAGAGTCAAGGACAGAGATTAGCCAGAGCACATGTGCGACAGCCCTGAAGGACTGAGCTGCTCCTGAAAGAGGCCAGGATCTGAGAGCAAGCATTGGAGTCATCAATATACGCATATTTCCAAAACTGAGGGCGTGAAGAAGAGCCCCTAAGAGGGTGCAGAGCCAGGATAGAGAGCTGTGATAGAACCCAGGGTTTATGGGATGAGATGGAACCCATAGAAGACCCTGCAGTGTAGCCTGTGCGAGGGCCTAGAGGGAGGAACTGTAGCCATCCGTTGGGACAGCCAAGCAATGGCCTGAGCCCAAGTGGATCAGTTGTGGGGAGAGAGGCAGATGCCTGGGGCCACTAGGTTTCAGAAGTGAGTGGGAGGTGAGCACAGGGTTCTTTGGAGAGTCCTGCCTGAGGAAGAAGTAGTAAAGGGAAGGAATGAACAGGCGAGAGCAGGAAAGCAGAGATAGGGGTATAGCAAGAGAGGACCAGGGCAAAGAAAGCACTATTTTTAAGTATTTTTATGGAAAGATGTAAACATGTTTATTAGGCACCAAAGAAGGAACCAGCTGAGAGGAACAGTTGAAATTAGAGGTGCAACAGTGGTATTGATGGAGAGAGGTCATGGAGGAACAGCGAGGGCAACATGTTGCCTTGAACAGGAGGAGGGACACCTCTCACTTGGCGTTTGGAAGGGAGGAGTGGTGGTCAGGTGAGGTAGGCATGGGTTTCCTTACAGCAGGCCTGCTTGGCTCGAGTTTATTATGTAAGTCTTTTTATTGTCTACAGGAGCAAAATACACCTGTTCTTCACTTACTCACTATCTTGTTATCTGACATTTCGTGTTTATGACCATAGGAAAAAATCTACTATCTGATTGTTTTGTGCATTAATGACATATGTCTGGTGGTAACAGAAGCCGAGGTCCAAGGCAAGAGTAACACTGAGTATGATGGTTAAAGTTATGTGTCATCTTGGCTGGGCCAAGATTCTCAGTGGTTTGGCAGTTGTGAAATGGTGAAATTTGGCAGTAATGTAATAATATAATTTGGTAGTTATATAATGATATCGTTTCTCCATTTTGTGGTCCAATGTGATCCTCCTCCATTTTCACATAATGCAGACTTTTGCATAACAGCTTGGTCTTTGGAACCTAACCATGTCTATAAGTGAGGAGTGGGTGTACTTTGTACTAAAGAAAACAAAAGCATTTTAAAAGTCTTAATTTACTTATTAATAATGGTGAAACTAATTACAAATTAATTTTCACCTATTTTTAAGGTGAGGGGGAGTACCCAGAGGACTTGTAGCTAGGTGTGTATAATTACATGTTCTTCAAAATAATAAAATTAAAATTCCTAGAAAAAAGTTATAATTCAGACTTTAAGCACTAAGTTGTACATTAACTCCCCCAGCCCTGGGCAGTACATTTTTATTTGTTCTTTTATTTGTTCAACTAACTGCCAAGCACTGGTTTTACCCAAGTATCAGACATGCCCGCTTTTGATTGCCCAGATTGTAAGTCACTCAAACCATGGGTTTCCATATCTTTTCCCACTGGCCTCCATTTTCTAGGGGACAGCCCATTATTGGTCACCACTCTGCATAGCTGTTCCCAAGGTCCATGTGAGGTGGACTAGGCTGGATAGGGACTCCAGTCTAGTCCCCTGAGGCCCAGGGGCTCTGCCAGCCTCCTCTTTTGGCTTTAGACACCAATGAGTTCTCTTTCTCTTCCCCACACAGGGGGCGTGAAGCTTGGCCTTGGGGACTTTATCTTCTATAGTGTGCTGGTGGGCAAGGCGGCAGCCACGGGCAGCGGGGACTGGAACACCACACTGGCCTGCTTTGTGGCCATCCTTATCGTGAGTGGGTACCCCAGGCATTGCGTCCTCCTGGGGCCCTCAGGAGGGGGCTCCCACATCCCCAGGGAGTTTTCAGGTGCAGTCTTCCCTCTGAGGAGCAAAAACAGTTATTGGAGCTGTATGGGGCTGTCAAGTAGATCCCTGAGACCAGAGCTTTACAGGAGATTGTAGTTGTCAAAAGGAGCTCTGGTGACATAGTACCTAAGGCATTTGACTGTTAACCAGAAGGTTGGTAGTTAAACTCAGCAGCCACTCTGCAGAAGGAAGACTGGGCAATCTACTTCTGTAAAGATTTGCTGCCTCAGAAACCCAAAGAAGATTGCTAAGAGTTGGAATTGACTCGATGGCAGTGAGTTTGGGTGGTGGTTTTTTGGTTTGGTAGTTGTCAACAGGAGTCCCTAGGTGGTACAAACAGTTAACGCTTAGCTGCTAACCAAAAGGTTGGAGGTTTGAGTCCACCCAGAGACATTTCAGAAGAAAGGCCTGGTGATCTGCTTCCAAAAAATCAACCGTTAAAAAAAAAAATCTTTGATGCATATGGGGTCGCCATGATTCAGAATTGGCTTGATGGCAGCTGGTTGGTTGGTTGATAGTTGTCAACAAGACCCTCTCCAGACTATTCAAAACAGTGCAAGAGGAGGAATGACCCAGGAGCTCTGACAGTTTTCATTGAGCAGCACTCCATGCCAAGGATGTGACCAAAAGTTTTGTGTGCTTGTCTCACAGTCCCCTATGTGCTAGATATGATTACCTCAGATTTTTAGAAGTAGATAGTTAGCCTCACCCATGGGCACAAAGCTCGTGAGGAACTCTGACTCCAGATCCTAACTGCTTCTCCTTCTTCTATGCCATCTGCTTACCCTGAGGTTCTCAATTCCTGAGGGTTGGAGGGTAACCTCATGACTTTGAACCCCAGCAGTGAAATTTGAAGTCCCCTGTAGTCACTTAACGTGGCCAAATACACATAATGGGGAAACATCCTATTATGATTTCACCTCAGGAATTTTCCTTTTAGGATCAGAGGAGGGAGAGTCTCAGTACTCCCCACTCAGTGCTTTGCCCTTTGAGGAAAACTCTGAGTGTTACACAGCAAGCACAGTAAGGCTGGTGGCCCAGATTTTGGAAGATTCTGTTTCTGCTCACAAGTGAGTGTCAGGGACAAGGTGACAGGCCTCCAGGCCTTCTACCACCCATAGTCTGACCTGAAGCCTGCTGCTGCCCCAGGGATAGGGCTGCCACTCTGATTTTTGTCCTTACCTGGGTTCACTGCCTTGCTTGGCCAAGGGGACTGGAATGGGCACCCCCACACCTGCTTGCCAGGGAATGAGTCCCATAGCATCATTGATTCCTTTAGTGTAAACTGCTGAGAGCCTCCCTGGCATTTTAGTCAAGCCCATCCAGTTTTTGGGGAGCTCTGGTGGTATGGTGCCTAAGGTATTTGACAGCTCACCAGAAGCTGGCAGTTCAAACCCAACAGCCACTCCTCAGAAGGAAGATTGGGCAGTCTACTTCCATAGAGATATCACCTTGGAAACCCAAGGAGGGGTCACTATGAGTTGAATTGACTCGACGGCAGTGAGTTTGGTTTTTTTGGATCCAGTTCACGTATAAGTATATGCTCTCTGAGAGGAAGCATCTTGCCATGAGTGACTGTGCTAGCCAGACAGGGGAGGCATCTTACCTTCATGAGTGACTGTGATAGGTAGACCAGGGAGGCAGCCCAGTCTGGGAGCATAGCCCTGTCTTATGAGTCAGGAGGCTGCTTTCTGGCTCAACCACTAGCACATGGGGTGTTAGGATGGGAGTGAGAACATCTGCCCTCTAATACCCCCAAGAGCTGTTGTGAGGATCAGAGAAGATAACGGGGTGACAAGTTCTTGAACAAGTCCTGAGCCCAGGGACTAGGCCATCATAGTCTTTCACAAAGTGCTCCCTTCCCTCATCCACTGACACATCCACACAGTGGAATCACCCTCCTCCATCCCTCACCTCTTCTGTGTCCTGCAGGGTTTGTGTCTGACCCTCCTGCTGCTGGCTGTATTCAAGAAAGCACTACCTGCCCTCCCCATCTCCATCACCTTCGGCCTCATCTTTTACTTCTCCACAGACAACCTGGTCCGCCCTTTCATGGACACCTTGGCCTCCCATCAGCTCTACATCTGACATGAAGCATGGTGCTGTGGGCTGGACGCTATAGGAAATTTTAACTTGATGCAGTGGTATAGTTTTTACACTCTAGTGCCATATATTTTTAAGACTTTTTTTTCCTTTAAAAAAAAAAAAAGAAAAAGTGTTGTGTTTACTTTATGAAGATGAAGCAGAACCAGCTTTTTGGTGCTAGTTGTTTTTGTTATCAGACTTTGGCTTACCCCGTCATCAGCACTCACTTCACTGACAGGAAACACAAATTTACCCAGATGAACTGAGAAGGGTTACCCGTTGTAGGGAGGGGACATGGAGGATGCCTGTTTACATTTGATGGCCTGGAATTCTCCAAGGGCCTGTATGAACAAAGATGTTTATCTGTTAGGGACCAGAAGTACATGTTTGGAAAACTCCACTAAGCACCTGTCGCTCTGGCCAGATAAGACAAGCCAATTTTTTCTGCAAAGAATGTTCCCAGTGCTTTGTCTATGATGTCATTGTTATTTTATTGCCTTTAGAAATGGAGTCCCATTCTTGTGACAGCAAGTTATTGCTGGGAAATGGCTAAATATTAGTATCAATAAATAGATGAACCCCATTGGGATGATGGTGTTTGGTCTGTTTGTAAACGTTGACCCCTCTCCTTGTGTGTCTTCAGCTCTCCAGGATAACTGTTACAAGCACCGAAGGGAAGAAATCTGCCCAGTTATGAAGAAGAGAGGCTTTACTGTCTTCCCTCTCTGAAATCACTTTTTTTCAACAGCAAGTTTCCTAAGCTAAGGTTTTCAGAGAGCAGCAAGGCATGACTCTCGACCTCTTTGAGGTAGAACAGGCTGCTGTGTGTGCACAGCCCCTGGCCTGTCATGCATGTTGTCAGAAAAACTCCAAAGCCATTGCCAAAATGTCAGTAGTTCCTTTATCGAGTGTCCTCAAGAGAAACCAGCACTCAGATGAGAGCCACTGTTCAGAAGCTTGCTCTCCTTTTCTTCTGTGTGCTCTGGACACTTTGGTTGGAAGATACGTTCCTCTGTTCATCAGACAGTGTGCCCAGGCTACAAAGAGAATTTCTTGATGGTGACTTAAGCTTCTTGAGCTGTGCATAGCAAGCCGCTGTGACTGCTGGAGAGCACAGCTGCTGAGTAACTGAGACAGCGCAGGTGCTGGGTTTGGAGTTAAGCCTGGTAGCTCTGTCCACTTGTTCCAGAAACCAAAAATAATCGGAGTGACTGGGTATTTATTATGAGAAGAGTAAAAGAATATTTTGAAGGTTGACAGGAACTTTCTTTTTTCTGAACTCTTTAGTGAACGAGGTAGGGGAGACTGAGAGGGCCTAATGCCATTTGTTCTGGTGGTGGCAACTGGAAAGTTGGAGTGTAATGACTTAGAACTAATAAGCAGTCAGAGACACGGGGGTGGCGCCCTCACGGTTATGAAAGCCCGAAAGAGAGATTGTTTCTGATGTTTAAAGCTACCAAAAAGTTTATCAGTTGTCATCAAGACATTTCCACCTCCTGGCAACCCCATGTGTGTCAGAGTAGAACTGTGCTCCATAGGGTTTTCAATGGCTGATATTTGAAAATAGATCTCTAGACCTTTCTTCTGAGGCTCCTGTTGGTGGAGTCCAACCTCTAGCCTTTCAGTTAGCAGCCAGCTGGGTTAACCATTTGCACCACCCAGGGACTTCTAAGAGGTTAAGAGTGAAGAGAAACTGCTAGAAGCCCATTAAATGTGGCAACCAGGACAATATTTAACTTTGAAAGAGTAGCTTTAGGGTTGAGTTTCCAACAATGATATTCAATAAATGTTTTGATTTGATAGGCTTAAAGAGATCTTTCTCAAAGGCCTGACTGGGGATGCTGCAGACAGAGGTCACATTCAGAGGTAAAAGCTAAAGTGGGGGTCTCTTATTGAAATAGATTGACATTGAGGGAAGGCACTGTGTGATTATGGGGAAAGGACTGTTTAATTAGGGAAAAACAAGTAAATGTGAGAAGACGAAAGGGTGACAATTACTGGAGAGAAAGGTACTTGAGGACACTAAACATTCAGAAGCTTTATTCCTGAGGAGCGGGGAGACCAGGAACCTGGAACACTAGTGGGGAAAAGGAAAGATGAAAGGATTTAAAAAGACAGAATTCAAACATGCTGAAAAGAGCAGGGAACTGGTGTACTTATACCTATGTACACCCTCCTGGATGTAACCAGTCAACTCATCTCAATCCTTCTTCACATTGTTTTTAGAAGTTAAGTTTTATCATTTGGAAGCCCTTCCTAATCCTTTTCTCTCTCTTCTGCTGTCCTGTAGTCAATTTTATCCTTTCCATCATGTTTAGTTTTGTTTTGCATGTTGGCATGATTATGTATTATTTTTATATTTTAACTTTTTATTGTGATTTGAGTGAAAGTTTACAGAGCAATTTTGTTTTCCATTCAACAGTTCATACACATTTTGGTTTGTAACATTGATTGCATCCCTGCAATGTAATAGCTCTCTTCCCACTTCTTCCCTGTGGTTACCTTTTCCCTGTGTCTTGCTTTCCTAAGCATCCTGCCCTCTGAGCTGTCTCCATGTACAAATGCTGCCCTTCTGATCTCCCAGGTTGACTGTAAGAAGTGTAGTTACCTGGTGTAATTAATTGTTCACTTTGTAGGCCTATCTATTGTTTGGCTGAGAGTTAAGCCACTGGAGTGAGTTAAATTCAAGACCTGAAGAGTGACTAGGGACTATAATCTCAAGGGTTTCACCAGTCTCCATCAGACCAGCAAGGCTGGTTTTCTGTATGCTTTTGAATTTTGCTCCACATTTTTCTTTTACTCTGTCCAAGATTTCCCATTTTGATCCCTTTCTGAGTGGTTAGCAGTAGTAGCCAGGCATCATCTAGTTCTTTGGGTCTTGGGGTCATGTAGGCTGTGGTTCTCAGGCCCCACTAGTTCCTTAGACTGATTGTTTCCAGGTGTTTTTTATTTTCTTCACTCTTCTTTGCTCTGGACATGGATGCAATCAATGGTTGCATCTAAGATGGCTGCTCACAAGCTTTTAAGACCCCAGTCGCTACTCACCAAAGTAGGATATGTTGTTGTTGTTGTTGTTATGTGCAGTCGAGTCAGACCTGACCCATAGCGACCCCTCCTTGGGTTTCCGAGGCAGTATCACTACGGAAGTAGGATTGCCCAACCTTCCTTCCGAGGAGTGGCTGGTGGGTTTGAACCACCAGCCTTCTGGTTAGCAGTCAAGTGCCTTAGCCACTGTGCTACCAGAGCTCCCAAAGTAGGATATATATAGAACAGTGTTTTTATGTGCTATGAGTTGGGGCCGACTTGACGGCAAAACAACAACAACAACATGTTGTGCACCACCACTCACCTATCACTTTGTCATACTGTAGTGACTTATATGTTGCTATGAGGCTAGAGGCTATGCCACTGTATTTCACATATCAGCAAGGTTACCTGTGGTGGACAAGTTTCAGCAGAACTTCCAGACTCAGACAGACTGGGAAGGATGGGGCCATTCACTTTGGAAAAAATTGGCCAGTGAAAATCTTATGAATAAGTGAATACCTTATGAGTGAGTGGAAACCTTATGCTATGCCATTTGAGCTTATGTCCCATATAGAGCCCACAGCTCCAGTGACTCCTTCAGGGAGTTTAGTTATAGCTAAGAAGTTATCATAATGGTGTATATTTTAAACTTTACAAAAATGGTGTCATAGTGCATATTGGATGATTTAATTTACATGCTTGAGGTGTTCATGTATATAAATGTAACTCTGTCCAGTCATTTTAACTATTGCATGGTATTCCTTTGTATGATATTCCACTATCCATTATGCTATTGATGGACATTTAAGAGTTTTTCAGTATTTCTGTATGACAGCTATATTGCAACAAACATTCTGTTATATTTTGTGAATTTGGGTGAGAGAGAAAAAAATACATAAAACTGGAAGTCCTCTAATTACTAGGCTTCAACTGCTCCCAGTTGAAGGGGAATATGAGAGTTCCCCTTTCTCCCAAACCTACCAACAGTTGCTTTTACCAGAATTTTCATTTTTGTTAATTGGATGGGTATTATCTCCTTTAAGTTTTAGTTTGTATTCTGTGTGGGCTATTTTTTCCCCCCATTATTGTTGTAAAATAGATATATATAACAAGAAAGTTCCAGTAAAATGGTGGAATAGGTAGACAAACTACACAGACCCTCTTCAACAAAGAAAAGAGGAACTAGTTAACAAAGATACAGAAGATAATTCTGGAGCTCTGATCTTTGAAAGGAAGGATACAGAAGTGGACTAAACTCCAACTAGTAGAAGAACTTGCATGAAAACACTAGAAAAGGACACATACAGAGCTGCAGTCTGTCAGCGATCCTGACGGCACAGACAGCTTAGATATTGCCAAGTGAGGTTTGGACCTGAGAATTAACCTAAAAATCAGCCCTGCTAGGGGACATCAAGCTCCCTTGGCATAATACTACACAAAACATTGTTCCACCTCCTAATTTGGTGAGTACTGACTAGGATCTTCAAAGCTTGCAAGCAGCCATGTAGATGGAACGATGGGTCTCTCCTTTTTTATTTTTTTTATTTTTTCCTCCAGAGTAAAGAAGAATGAAGAAAACCAAAGATTTATGGAAACAATTAGTCCTAGTGACTGATACACCATGCAATCCTTAGCCTATACAACTATGAGACCAGAAGAACTAGATGGTGTCTGGCTACCACTGTCATCCACT